GGCATTGTGGCAGGGGGCCGTAGTCCCAGCTACTAGGGAGGCTGAGGCAAGAGAATCGCTTAAGCCCAAGAGTTGAAGGTTGCTGTGAGCTGTGACGCCATAGCACTCTACCGAGGGCGACAAAGTGAAACTCTGTCTCAAAACAAAACAAAACAAAAAACAAATTCTGTCTCTAACCCTTCACTTTGCCTCTGGCAGCCTGGGCAGGTTCTCCAGAGAAAGATGTGAGCTTTTTTGATGGCCAGTCCCTGGGGTAAATTTGGCAGAGGCAGAAAGGGGATTAAAAGGCATTGCATGGCAAAATGCATTCATTCATTCATCCAGCTAATATAAGGTGACCAGATTTTAACATTGGTAAAGCGGGACACCATTGATGAGGGTGGGGCGGAGGAGGGGTGTGTTCTTGATTAAAAATTTGGTCTACATGAAGCAACACAAATTTTCATAGAACGCAAAAATAGTATTGTAATTTTTTTTTAATTTCAACATAAGTACAATTTACAAATATAATACATTTTTAAAAAAATTATGTATAGGGCGGTGCCTGTGGCTCAAAGGAGTAGGGTGCTGGTCCACTTGCCCAGGAGGGGAGTAGGGAGTTTACATTAGCCTTTTCATTTCCAAATGAAGTTACATTAACCTCTTCATTCCCAAATGGAGTTACATTAACCTTTTCAGCAGCCAAAAACCGTATATTCCCTTCCCATTGTCCCGCTGTTCCCTAGCTAGTAGTGCATTCTTTCCAAAAATCGGGACTTTTAAAAAATGCTGCGGGATGCGGGACAAATTGTTGAAGATCAGGACTGTCCCGCCAAAAGCAGGACGTCTGGTCACCTTAACCTAATACCTGTCCTGCCTGCCTCCATAGGGGGTTGTGAGAATCTATAAATCAATGAATGTGATTATGTGCTTCACCAATGAGGACTGTGGTTCAGAGCTGGGGGTCTTGTCACCAGGTCCTGCCCAATCAAAGCTGCACCTTCTCCCCCAAAACACCAACACAAGGTACTGGCAGGGGCAAGGCTTATTTTGAGGTCTCCAGAGGCTACCAATCTTCTTGCCCCATAATCTTGGTGCAGCTTGTAGGCAGGCCTGAAAAACAAGTGTCCTGCTGAAGAGGTGATTCCTAGCCAGGGAGCCTGACAGAGAGGTCCCTGAGTGGCAGCAAGCCTTTTCTATAGCTAGATTACATGCCTTGAAATAAAAACATTACTTCTTCCCCAAAATATGGAACAGCTATTGGGACTGATGAAATTAAATCATCACCTTAAAGCGCTAATATACTTGTATGAGCATAGACAAGGATGTGAAATAATTTGTCCCAAATTGTGAAGACTGCTTATCTGGGAGAAGGTATTAGGAGATGATTAAATTTTACTTTATTCATTATAATTTTTTGTATAGCTAAAAAAATTATTTTAAGCATTTCTGAATACATAGGCTCTTTGGGTGATTGTGCATGTATTTGCTTCATTCCAAAAAGACAATTATCATGGCTCGGTGCCTGTGGCTCAAGTGGCTAAGGTGCCAGCCACATACCCCTGAGCTGGCAGGTTCAAATCCAACTGGGCCCACCAAACAACAATGACAGCTGCAACCAAAAAATAGCCGGGTGTTGTGGCAGGCGCCTGTAGTCCCAGCTACTTGGGAGGCAGAGGCAGGAGAATCGCTTGAGCCCAGGAGTTGAAAGTTGCTGTGAGCTGTGATGCCATGG